AGATAGATAGATAGATAGATAGATAGATAGATAGATAGATAGATAGATAGATAGATTTCACATTGATCTGTAACAAGATCGAACTTCTGCTACACACACACACAAACAGACAGAAGTCTGCAGAAAATTGGTGTGTTGTGAGTTTTTCTGGAAATACCGTTTATGAAAACAGACTTATTGCATCAAACCTCACAACACTTTCTGATCTTTCTCTCTGGCTGCTTCCATTTTGCCGTTGCCTTCCGTCTTTCTGACAGCTCGACCTTTTAAGACCTTTACAAAGTTTTTAATTAGGATCGGCGCTTCCTGCTGACATGCACTATGGGGCGTGTGGCTGGAGGGAAGGGCCTGTGGCTATGAAATTAATCTGTCAATCAAAGGCAAAACCATATCACCAGCCAATCAGCAGCCAGGATTTACAGTAGGCTCAGACGATGATGTCATAATGCGGAGAGCAGCGACAGACCTTAAGAACTCACACACCCAGATGTGCATATTTAAATAAGTGAATTTAAATACTAAATAAGCAGAATTAATGAATGCATGGGAAGGAATAATTAGCTTTATCTACACCACAGACTAACAATACGCTCATACAAAAAAAAAAAAACCCAAAAGGTATTACCATGCCCTTTCAGACATGATACCATGGTAAATCACAGTATATAGATAGTTATAGATAGAACGATAGATAGATATAGGTATATGTATATTATAATCATTTAATACCATGGTTTCACCATCTGATACCATCACTGTACCATGGTACTTTTTAAGGGACACACATATAAACTCAACTTATTAAAACTGACATTAATTTATTCTATCTATCACACAGATACAGTTTGATGGACAGGACACTGACCGGTGCGCGGGTTGATGCTGAAGAAGTTCTGCGGGTTGCCGCTGGAGATCCGGAATGACAGGCGGGGCTCAGTTGCCGTGGCGTCAGGGTCCTGCGCCTGGATCTGAATGACTGACTGATCCTTTGGGGAATTTTCCAGAATGGTGGCATGATACATCGGTTCAGACGTGAGCGGAGCGTTATCGTTAACATCCTCAACCTGTTAAATCACACACGGAAAATATATAAAATAAACATTTCATACAAGAACCACAATTTCACAAAATCTCACATAGGATGCACACTTATTTACCTGTATGTACACTTGCAGCGCCGCTGACTGCGGTACCACTCCCAGATCAGTGGCGTACACCGTCAGCCAACAGGAGTCCTGCGTCTCTCGGTCCAACAGATCTGTAGTGTAGATGACACCTGCAAAATAAAATTGATAAAAATGTCAAAACATCACAAGCTGAATATTTTAATTCCAGTGAAACAGCAGAGTTGATCATTTAGTTTCAATGCTAACAGGTAACGCATTCTACACTGAGACTGACAAACTCAGCAATAATTGCGGACAAAAAGCAGAAACATTAAAGCTGAGGTGTGCTGTTTGAGTATAACACGGCAACAATGGCTTAGCAATGGCATGAGTTTGGGCGGGGCTTCCTGCTCGGCTGGCCAATGGCGAGTGGTCTGGAAACCTGTTTGAAAACAGTCATTATTTATCACAGCAGTTCTGTGGTGATGCTAGTGATGAGGCACCTTTAAAAAAATCTGTGTTTTTCTGTGATAATACAGCAGCACACAGGTTGTGGTAAATTTAGATCAATAAGGAGGTCACTTCCATAAGTCATGTAACAGAAACACAGCAGAAGAAAACACAACCCTCAGGCTAAAGACCAAATAAAACCTGAACCTCTGACCTCAACAACAGCCCGACATTTTCAATCGTTCCATGCAACCGTAAACTGAGGTCTTCAGTCTTGGGGACAAAAAATTGAATTATGTCCATTGTCAGAACATAAAAAAATAAAATAAAAAAACCCCGGTTCATCTCAGGCACAGATTTGCCTCACAAAGCTAGACTTTTGCTCTGGCGGGACTGTTGAGCTAGATCTAATCAAAATAAAAAGTCTATAAAAAAAGTTAAGTAAAAAATTAAAATAGAATTATGTAAATAGAAAGTAAATAAATCTTTATAAAATATAAATAATATATATAATAATAGAGAATTATAAATATTTCCCCCCCATAATTTCTGTATAATTTATATGCACTTTTACATGCATCTGTGTTTTGCCAGAAACTACGGTTACCATGGTACATTTTCTGCAAGGGAACTAGAATCAGACTTGAATCAGGTAAAGGAATCAGATCAGCTTTCGCTGTATTGAAAAAACAGCCTGAGCTTTTGTGTGTGTGTGTGTGTGTGTGTGTGTGAGACATCAATAATTCAGTCTGTTAGCCTGTAGGATTCATAAAATCCTTTAGTTCATTGTGCTAGAGTGAGAGCACACGTAATATATTCGGAACACCAGCAGAACTGCCTGAGGAATCGCAAAATGAGAGTAGACAATGGAAAAAAAAATAGATATGAAGAGAGACAGAGAGTGTATTCTATTCTCTGAGGTAATAGAAACTCACTTTAGCCAATCGGAGACAGATTGGAAGTCCAGCCCTGACAAACCAGAGTCATCTCACACTATTACCACCAACCACAGCGCCTCATTCAACCAGATTACACACACACACACAGTTTTATAAAAAGCTATTTATAACTATAAATTAATTTTATATTTAGTAGTTACAATTTGTTATATTTGTTATAACCACAACTCAATTAAATATTTTTAATAAAAAACAATTATTGTGGGGATTAACATTAAAATAATAAAACTTATAATAAAAATGCATATTAATATTATATTATTAACCTTCCCCACAGACATATATTGTTTTATATAAAGCTAATTATAATTATTACAGAAAAACCAAAACTCAAACCCCACAATTCCTTTTTTTGTGTTTTTATAAACATTTTTAATTAACGTTAAAATAATAAAATATTCTAATAATATAATACATTTCAATACTATATTCTTCAAAAAGTGGAGACTCCATAGATAGCTATCGTTTTTTTTATACAGCTAATTATAATTTCTATAATGACTATATTACTATATATATTTTATGCATTAAAGGGGTCATATGATGCGATTTTTCTTTCTCTTTGGAGTGTTACAAGCTGATTGTGCATAGATAAGATCCCTAAAGTTGCAAAGACTAAAGTCTCAAAACCAAAGAGATATTCTTTATAAAAGTTAAGACTCTGCCACGCCTAACTAAGACTGCGCTTGTCGGAAGGAGGGACTTTGTTGAAAACGAAGCGTTTGAGAGAGGCGGGGCATAGAGGGGTTACAATAATGTACAGGATTTGAAAAATAATGTGTTTATTGAATATTAAAGCATGTCAACATATTCTGTTACACCAAATACACAAAATAATGATCTTTAAAAATTGCTTTCCAAATTGGAGGTTGTGTTAAATTTAGCTCACTTTTGTGTATAATTTTGTCCCCAGTCTACAGCTAAGCAGTCACACACAGTCCTGGCTGGAAGCTGATATTTCAGCAAGAGCTGAGCGAGCAGATAGGAAAAGCAGAGAGAGAGAAAGCGAGCGCAAATAAACGAGTGGAAATGGGGAGATTATTTAGCTTTTTCATTGGTTGTTGTGCTCCTGCTGTCTGACCTAGATAAGAATGATATGAGTCAATGAAAGAGTGCCAGCTGGATGGCATGAGGCGTGCACGTGTGTGTGTGTGTGCAAATATGTGTGTTAGTAATGCTGTTGACTGGCATAATCTCTGTGATCAATTATTAATGAGCACCCAATTATCTACATCCTGCCTTTCCCAGCATCCTCTTAATGTAATTCAGGGTGTGTGAGATAGTCCGGCCCATTAAATATGAAGGCCTCTTATAGATTAATTAAGAACAGAATACAAATTAGTCTCGTGAAAGAGCGAAGTGTTTAGGATGAGAGGAAATGTGAGGGTTTTCTGCATGTTTATGTAATCTCTCTTCCAATCTTTGATCTTTGACTAATCTTTGGTTTAATAATTGATCCTGGTGCTTTCAAGACATGGCACACACATTATTTGGCATTACAAACATGTTGTGTGTCAAAGCTCTGTTTCCCTGCACAGTTATACATTAGTTTTGAAATTGTCTCTTAAAGAGACAGAGCACTCAAAAATATAAATTCTGTCATTTCATCCAAAAATGAAAAATGATTTACTCGCCCTAATTTTGTTCCAAACACCTATGACTTTCTTTTCTTCTGTGTAAACCAAAGGAGATGTTTTGCAGAATGTCCTGGCTGCTTTTTTCCAGACAATGAAAATGGATGGGGACTGGAGCTGTCGACTCCAATAGTGACACAAACACTCTCTAAATGTAGTTCATACGGCTTATGCACTTTATTACAAGTCTTCTCCAGTCATAAAATAAATGTGTTAGGAACAGACTGAAATTCTTCCTGTAGATGTCACACTTCATTTACATTTGTGTAAATGTGATGCATCAAGATGCATAATTTGAAGTTTGACATGATTTTCAAACAATCATATATTAAACTGTTGTTTCATGACTGTATGGCTTCAGAAGACTTAGAATGTGGTGAATGAGTCATATGTACTACTTTCATAGAGATATTTGGTTATTTTTGGAGCTTGACAGGCCAAGTCCCCATTCACTTCCATTGTTTGATAAAAAGCAGCCTGGATAAATCTTTGTTTCACAAAAGAAAGGAACTCATACAAGTTTGGAATGACATAATAGTTAGTACACTATCATTCAAAAGTTTGGGGTCAGTAAGATTCATTTTTTTTTAAAGAAATTAATACATTTATTCTGCATTAAACTGATCAGAAGTGACAGTAAAATGTTTAAAAGTGTTATATAAAAAGATTTATATTTCAAATAAATGCTGTTCTTTTGAACTTTCTATTCATCAAATAATCCTCACAAAGATTCTGCAAAGATATCAAGCAGCACACCTGTTTTCAATATTAATAATCATAAGACATTTTTATTGAGCAGCAAATCAGCATATTAGACTGATTTCTGAAGGATCATGTGACACTGAAGACTGATGCTGAAAATTCAGATTTGCCAACACAGGAATAAATTGTTTTAAAATATATTAGACCGCTATTGTAATAATATTGCTGTATTTTACTGTATTTTTGACTAAATAAACGCAGCCTTGATGAGCAGAAGAGACTTCTTACAAAAACATTTGACGGTGAACTTGAAGTAAATAGTTTCTTTTTAGAATGTTCTATTAGCTGTTTTATTATTTGTATGAAATTTGCATGAAATATATGTCCCTACTTTTGCTAAATAGCGGTTTTATGTTAATAATCCCGTCTCTGGTTTTCAGAGAACTGCATTTAAAAGCACAATTGATTTCAAATTGTATTATGCAAACACACCCTCTGACTCGCATTTGTTTCCCAGGCTTTAGGTGTGTGTATAATTATGCAGGCACAGGTGTCTCCATCCCTGTCTAAGGAGGTGCAGTCTTTAACCCTAGGGGGATTTGCTAGCTTTGAGTCTCATAACTGCTGATTCATTCTGATTTCTGTTGCAGTGCTGGGTTAGTGTTCCCCAATCAGAAACAATAGGAATATTAAAACCTTTAAGCTGCAGTACTGCAAACACATATTCATCACTGTGTCTGTCACGAGACTCTGTTCACCTTTCGGGCTCTGTCTTTACATTTATTTTGAAAGATGAAGCTGGCGATTATGGTAAGGGGCGTTACATTTCCGACGAGTGCTTGTGGTGTTCGGCCAATCACAATGCACTGGGTCAGCTGGCCAATCAGAGCAGACTGCGCTTGTCGGAAGGAGGGACTTTGTTGAAAACGAAGCGTTTGAGAGAGGCGGGGCATAGAGGGGTTACAATAATGTACAGGATTTGAAAAATAATGTGTTTATTGAATATTAAAGCATGTCAACATATTCTGTTACACCAAATTCACAAAATAATGATCTTTAAAAATTGCTTTCCAAATTGGAGGTTGTGTTAAATTTAGCTCACTTTTGTGTATAATTTTGTCCCCAGTCTACAGCTAAGCAGTCACACACAGTCCTGGCTGGAAGCTGATATTTCAGCAAGAGCTGAGCGAGCAGATAGGAAAAGCAGAGAGAGAGAAAGCGAGCGCAAATAAACGAGTGGAAATGGGGAGATTATTTAGCTTTTTCATTGGTTGTTGTGCTCCTGCTGTCTGACCTAGATAAGAATGATATGAGTCAATGAAAGAGTGCCAGCCGGATGGCATGAGGCGTGCACGTGTGTGTGTGTGCAAATATGTGTGTTAGTAATGCTGTTGACTGGCATAATCTCTGTGATCAATTATTAAT